GCCGCTGGGCAGGGCCGGAGGAGGGGGCGGAAGGAAAATCGGGCCGGCGGGTCCCAGGCAGGGCGAGGCAGCAGCGGGCTGAGGTGAGGTCTGGGGTCCGAGGCACAGGAGGTCAGGTTTGGAAGCCTCTGTGCTCCGGCTTCCATGCTGCGCTGTCGTCCCACCCCCCGACCCGTGTGTGACCGCGCTGCGAGGGGCGGGTGTTGTTCGGCCTGCCCGGGGTGTTCCCGGGAGAGCCTTCTTCCTGTTGCCTCCGGTGAGGTTACCGACTGGCGGGAAGTTAGGTGCGATATGCAGGATTGGTAAAGACTCAAGTGGTGTCAGGTTTCATTTCTTAGGCTTTTAATTCCCTGTGAAGCAAATCGAAAGTCAGGCAAAGGAATTACAGCATTTCCCAAAGTTGGAAAAGCTCCGTTTATAGTTTTTTCTTTGTATACTTGTCATCAGCTTTGTTTTTCTCCTGTCCCTTGTAGGCATCCCGCTGTGGGTTCTCTGCTCTGTTGCATTCTTTGCTGTTTGTAAACGTTGTAATAAAATGTGACGATTGTTTATCTGGATGGTGTCCTTTATGGTGTCAGGAAGTTAAATGTTACAACTGTGCTCAATGTAGTGCAGTGTGTTAGTTTGTGTGTGAGGAAAGCTGGGTGCCACCTTGCTCAAGACTTCCTCAGGAAGTCAGTGGAGCACAGCACCAAACTTTTGCCAGACAGATCCTAAAACCACTGCTGTGCAAGCTCTGCTTTGAATTGAGCTTTGGTGGCAGCAGCAGCGAGACAGTTCTGCTGATACCGCTGTGTCGGTGTACTTGAGTATTGCATCTGAAAATCTATAAGGTGCTTTTTGTAGTTAGACAGCACTCAGGCTTGGGACAAATGGTTAGCTGGGAGCACGGCTGTGGAGGTAAAAGTTGCAGGAGCTGAGAGCGTTTTTATACGTTAAATTAATGCTTCTGATGCACAGTTTTGTAACTTGGCTGTTAAACTTGTGACTAGTGTGTGCTGCCTTGTTTGAGATGGCACCAAAGCCTTATATGTTCAATTTTTTTGCTTTTAGATGCTATACTAGCTGTACTGGTCATCTCTGACCATTGTTTTCAACACTTTTCTGCATGGTTCATTCCACTGCTCCAATAGCAGCATTTTTTTAAGCCCCCCTCTGTTTCTAGACATTACTTGATGAATGGAAGAGGCAATAATGGCCTTTATGCTTTTTTGTAACTTAGTCACTGGAAAAAATGTTTCTTTGTGCCTGCCATCTTAGTTCATACCAGTTTTCAAAAGAAATGTCATTATGTTTGGTGGCTTATTTTTCTTCCATAATCTACTTCCTTAAGGTTTTATTTCCAGACCCTTGTACAGAGTAGCTTTTTTTTGGTGATTGTGTGTGATACTGACTTTTAAGTGGTACTTTCTGCTCTCTGAAATAGGCTTTTTATACATAGGGCAGAATCTTCCCTGAAGACTGACATCTCTCGATGTTTTATCTTGGGTAGGTAGTTTATCATGCAGAAAAATAAAGTCTTGCTTAGTTGGTTATTGGTTGAAAAGAACAGTGGGTGAAATAATAAACAGGCTTGTAAGGTTGAATATCACGTCATTAATTCCTACTGTTCAAGTCATGAGTCTTGAGATCACTCTAAATGCTGAACTCTTGGGGAAATTGTATACCCAACAGTTAATTACTTATTTACAATTTTTGTGTACATTCTGAGCATATATGAGTTTCTTTAACACAAGATATACGTCTGGCTTTCTCCAGCTTTTGAGAAATATTAGTTCTGTTTTACTGATTGTTTTTCTATACAAGCAGAACACTGCAAATTACTTGCAATTTTTTGTGCTCCTTTTGCCTTGTGATTGAAAATCCTTCAGGCCTTTTTTAAGAAACTAGACCAGAAAATGACCAGTTGCCAACTAAGATTTATGCAGTAGTATCTTCTATTCGGCCATGCTGGTTACCTTGATAATATGAGCATTACGAATTAAAGAGATCTTCACATATAAAATAGATGAATCGCTTAAAGGCTGTAGTTTCTTCACAATTTAGCAGAATCATGTAATAAATCTTGCTGCTGAACTGTTACAGAAGTTGCTGGGGGGGCTGCAGGCTTGGTCCGGAGATACAGGGTAATGGTGGGAAAATGGACCCTTGTTTATGATGAGCTGTGGGTCAGAATTAGAGTGAATTTCTTAAATTTAGCCTTTATGGCTAAATCAGTAATGTCTCTACTGGTGTCAAAACTGGCTTTATTTGACTGTTATAAGACAGGATTAATTTATAAACCCTCATGGAAAAAGGCAATGAGTTGTGCAGTGAGCGATCTTAGGAGGGACACGTTTTTACATGCAATGTTTTGTAGTGCTTTTTATAGGCTTCTCAAAATGAGAAAGTTGAAAAGTAGGTTTAGTGAGGCATTAATAATTGCATGTAAATACATGCAAGTACATCTATTTCTTGCATTTAAGAGGTAGCATTAGAAAAACTGTGAAATGACAGGTGGATACAGGTGGAAGCTGGGACTTTTTGACCTGCATCGAGTGAAGGTCCTCCTGTTGGTGAAAGTTAAGATTTTTTTGTTTGGTTTTATATTATTTGATTGGGTTTTTTTTCCCTTGATCTCTAGGGTTCAGGAGGTAATAGGCAGATTATGCATGGTTTTGTAGAGGCTGTCTCAGGTTTCTAACAAGAACAGAAACTAATCTGTTTTTAGCAGCAATTTTTTTTAACATCAGTTTAAGTAGTCAACTGGCATTTCAAGATAATTTAATACTTGGACATGTACTTCACATCCAGTTTCTAATATTCAGCCTTGGTCAATCCAATATGAATATTCAATGTTAAGTTCAAAGTTTCTTTAACAAAGCACTTTGGGCATTTGAGCTGTGGAGTCCTACATCACATAAAGTATGGTTGCCTAGAAGGTTTATGTATTTCTATTGGAAAGTGGCTCTATTGGGACTGAGTGCAAGTAAAGACAGGAAGAAAAAAATAAATAAATAAAAAGAAAACTGTGATCTCATCCTTGATGCCATTAATTTATGAAACTTAGGATACAAGCTGGGGAATCGGGCTTAAGTCTGAGATAATTTTACCCATGGTTGTAAATGTAGTCTCGAGTTGATATTACCTGCTGTTTCTGAGATAGCTGTCTTTTTCTATATTTTAACACTTGCAATTCAGTGCATTGGTTACGTAATGGTTTTCTTTTAAAACCTTTTTACAGCTCTTTGATTAACAAAATGAAGCCTACAAAGTTGCATTATTGGATTTTGGGTTGCTTTTCCATGATGCTATGTTGTTGGTGTACTCCACATAAATTCACCCAAAGGTAAGTTATGCTTATCTCTGACAGTTATTTCTGAACTGTGGAGCAGAATAGTTTAACTTCTAATTAATGTATATTTTCTTATTATATGCGGTTTCTCATGTGTTATTCTTCCCTTAGTGACTGGTGAAATGAGGCTGCTCCATTATCAGGGCAATGGAGGTCATGCCTAAGAGAAGCTTTATACTTACTGTGTCAGCCTGAAATAAGGGGGAAACTTAAATTACATTGCACTTAAAGAGCTTTGCAGTCTTGTTTTAAATGAATCATTTAGGCTTATGATGTAGTAATCACAAAAAGGGCAAATAATTTTGAAACATGCAACAAAAAAACCCTATAATCAATCCTCTATGGCATGAATTGCACCAACTGTTACAATGTGTCCTTTTTTTTTTTCCTATTTTCTCTTTTTTTTCTATTTTCTATTTTTTCTACAGCATCCCAGCTAGGGTTGTTTCACTGCTGTGCACCCTTTTGGTGGTTGTTGCACTTGGGAGAATCTAAGTTTAAATACCAATGGGCCATGGGGGAGCTCACAACCCAAATCATGCCCTTCTGTAGTAAAAGCTCAAATGCCTGTTGCATTATATTCTGAATCAAACTTTTCTTCTTTCTTTCATTTTGGTTTTTTTTTTTGGCAAAGGGTTGGTTAAGGGTGCTCAGTTCAGTGCTGAACTGTATGGCTACATTGCAGCTGGTTGGTAACTTAGACATTATGCTGAGAATTTTGGAATGCCTAGAATGTGGGCTCTGGCTTGGCCATCCTGGAGTCAGAGGCAGCCCTAGAGGCACATTGCTGGGCTGCACAGGCCAGAATAACTTGGGTCAAAAATAAGGTGAAATATCCCTGAAGATGAATAAATATTGAAAATTGCTTTGTTTGGATTCCAGTTCTGAGCTTAAGTTTCTAAAACTAGCTCTGTTTAATAATAAATTTTTTCTGACCTGTCCTTAGCCAGAAAGTATGTTCTAGGATAACTTGTTTTGGCATGATTGTCATTGCAGTTCAGCCACTATTTCAAATAAAGATTAAAGATGGTATTTTTCTAAGCAAGAATTTTTTAAAGTGAGGAAACTAACTGCTCCACAATATTGGGAAATTCCTCAATTTGCATTTCCACAGCAATAGTAGAGACTAGTAGAGTTAGAAGTGTTATTAATTTTCATTGTGGCTATGCCTGCTTTGTTCCAGAGCTATTCTACTACATTATTTTAAAAAGACAGATACACATGAATGCTTAAGAAAAAATGTGGCCATTGCAAAATAGCAAAACTAGAAGAAAAAACTGAGAAGTGATGTGACATGAGAGTATCCCTGCTTACTCAGGTTAAGAAGAATTAGCTTTCTCATACATTTTAATATAACCTCTGGCAACCACTAATGAAGGACATGTGGCTGTTAGCTTCTAGAGAGTAACAATTTATTTTGACATTATTGCATAGTTCTGTCTTTTTGAATAATTTACAGTTCTGTTTTTATTGATTTTCCCACTTGCTATTCTATTTAATCACTTTGTGTGGTTGCTTAATAGCTAAATATACCTGTTGCAGTGTCTGAAGCAATAGTTTTTTGTCTATTTCTAGTTTATCCAGATTACGTCTGCTCCAAACTGTTGGAAAATGCCTCTGTAGGAGTGATAAAGACATGATACAGGTTTCCAACAATTCTTGTGTAAAATTTTTTAAGCTTCCTCTGCCCACCCCCGCCTCAGCATTAGATAGTACAGATGCCTCTGTGAGTTACAGATCTCTTTACTCTAAGAGGTTTTGAAACACAAGTGCTTTTGCAGAATATGGGATATTCCTTCTTTAGTTCTTCCTTAGGTAACCTTAAGACTGTGTCACAGTTTGGTTATTTGTTAAATGTTTAAAAATTACTTAATTTAGAGTAAGCATTTTTAAAATGTAGTGTTTTAATTAAATATCTATAACATTATGAAATAAGAATTTTTTTAGATTTATGGTTTTTATTTTATTCTTTGTTCTGATTCATTTATGTATTTATCAAAAAGGTTGGAACCCTTGCAGGATCAACTTACGTCTCCTGCAGCGTCAACTACATTGCTTGTGCTTGTTTGTAGTCTTTCTTTTTTAGAAGAGTAGTTAGAATTCCAAGAACTATACTTTCCTTTCAGCTAATATATCCATCAAGAAGAATTAGAAGATTCTTAACATCCTAAACAAAGATTATTTTTTTAAAACTACTGTTGTAAAAGCTTGCCAATAAGCACTCTCATATATATAAAACAGAACAACATGTTTCTTCGCTATTTAATAAATGGAAAACATATGAAGATAGGTTGCAAGCAGTGGAATTTGTCTAACAGTAGGGAGGTATTATTAGGTTTCTAAATATATTGATTCTATGTGATTTGTTAGTTTGGTCTTGTTGGGTTTGTAGTTCTCAAATATTGCAATATAAACTGTAAACAACAACCAGCTCTAACATCAATACCTTACGCCAGCAAGCATTGTGCTGCTGGCTGAGGCGTTGCTCTTCTGAAAATGCTCAAGGGAAAACAGATTTGTCTGTCTTTCTCTAGTGACAACTACCCTCATACCTGGAAAAAGCTGTACCTTGCTCATCATTGGCCAGTGACTGTATGTAAGGTGAGAATTTTGTGTTTGTTCTCTTTTATCCTTACAAAGGTAGCCTTGGGCAATAAATGTTTGAAAACAGAGTGAAAGAATCCCATCAAGTATATAATCTTGATTATGCCCTTTAATCTTTATAAAGGCTTTCACTGATCTTGGTGCAACTTTTGCTGCTTCCTCTGGTCTTCAGAGTACCAGTAAACAAGACAGGATTGTGATATGTTACAGGTATAATGAGTAGTCAATGTAGGACACACTATATACTAAGCCTTAATTGCTCATTGTATATTTTGTGATGTCTTGATAGTTGTAAACTTAATCCTAGACTTTCACCAGGCGCTGTAAGGGAGCTTGTCTGCTTTGTCTGACTGAAGACAGCAGAACTGTCTGCTCCACAAGAAGTTTTTAGCTTTTTTGTGTTGACTCCAGCATTTTAATGATAACTAATCAGAAATGGATTCAGTCAAGAAAAAGAGAGTTATAAAGGTGTTATGGCAGGTATCTCTGGGCATTTCTGTATTTGAGGGGCAGGAACCAAAAATTAATGCAACCTTCCTATATCTATCTGTCAAAATCACAGCTAATAGTTGTACTACTTATGTCCCTTTTGCTATTAAATACCTACTACTACTGTCTGGTAAGTTGAACATTTTTCTCATGCTTGAAATACTCAAAAGCCTCTTCTCATACAGGTAGGTTAAAAATATGCTATACCTCAGAATGGGAAGATGTGATCAGATTTACTGACACAAGGATGAAGAATCCTGTGGATAACAGAAGCTTCAGTTTCGGGCAAATGTCTCTAGAGCTAAAAAGGTTCCAATTCTGGGAGACTTAGGTTTGCTTATTACGTTATTATGTCTTATTTTTTATGCTTTAGGTTTTTAATTTCTCATTCCTATTCCTGGAAATACAGTAGCAGCAGTAGCAGCAAAAGTAACATACTTTTGAAGGTCTGAAAGGCCTTTTTAAAAATACAGCAAGCACAGGTCAGCTTGCCAGAGATTTGAGAATATGCATTTTCCAACTCTTCATGTGCTTTAAACTGTATATGTGTAGCAGGTGCTTTTTAATATTGTGTGTGATCAGCACAATTAAACTGGAGAGTGTTTCATAATGTCTTCTAGATTACCTGTTAAGATAGAACTGTGAATGTCATGGAAGCAGTCATAACCCTGGGACTTAAATACTGATTGCTACAGTGAAAGGGCAAAGGAGGAAGAGAGATGTTCTTCATCCTGTGGTTAGAAATTCTGGTACCATATAATTGCTCTAAAGTGACTATGTCTTTATCAATAAAGATATCCAAGCTAAATTCACAGACCTGAAGTGATTATGAATTTCAGGTTCCCTTAATAAACAGAGCCTGAGGTGGATTTTATTGAATTTAATGTGGCTAGTTCATGCCACATTTACATTTTCTGGTCACAAATTAATATGAATCCTGTTAGGTGGAAATAGGAGTAAGTCAAGGGCAAGAAGAGAGACTTGCCCCCTCCCTTTTTATGAAGATCTTTAATTCAATAATTTGAAAAGAGAAATATTATTGCAGCTTTTGCATAGGTTTGTATAGAAATATAGTATTGTATAGAAGATTACAAATAGAGAAGATCTTCTGAAGCTATTTCCTTTTGAAATGAGGAAAATCAGATGCAAGTCTGTTGGCTATTCAGATGCTCCACTGTTGAGAATGGACAGGATGATAAAAGAATGGCTGCCAAATCCTCCTGTTATCTGCCTTTTACTGTACATATATGCTCATCAAATGAAAGAATCAAAGAAGGGACAACAGAGTAGGCTGGTGAACAGAATAGTCTGAGTTCAAGTTTGAATGTAGTGTTAAGCAGCAGATTGTTTTGTGGTTTTTTTCATAAGAGATAAAAGGTTTTTCTTATTTCAGGCTTTGGTAATAATTTTATGGCAAAGACTTGAAAGAAGAGTAGAAACCACTATTAAACCAGATGTGTTGAAGTCATACAGCTCTTGACATAGTCTGTTTTGGTAGAAAAGAAAGTTTTTTCCTAAATACCCATGCAGCTTCTAAGATAATTCTTAGTCTATGCCTCCAGCTTCTCCTTGAATAAGGTCTGATTTAGATGTTTTTTTTTTAATCTTTATCTTTTTCAAGGATAAACACATTAAAGATTTTAACTTCTCTGCTAAAGGAATTAAAATTGTTTTAGTTGACTCCTCCCAAATTGTTTTAGCAACCGTATAAATTTGGTTAATTCATTGATTGGTTTTCCCCAGAGGATGGGGAGAAGAAAGAAGGGGAATAATTACAGACTATTTGGTAGACAGAAATGGAAGAGGTGAACTCTACAGCTTCAAAAGCAATGACTTTTCATAACAGTTGTCATATTTCATTATGAAATAGCACTTCAAATTGATCTTAATTAAATTGATGGCTTACTTAAACAGAATGATCAGACTGATTGAAAGGGAGAGCAGGATTAATTATTTTTCTTCCCAGATGATTACTTTTTATTTAAATTTGGGGTATCTGTTTGTGATCCAGTAGCATTACTCCTGCGTACAAGCTGTCATACCAGAGATACGTAATTTGGGCAGCTCTACTCTGTGACAGTTTGATGGTGTTTCATTTTTCGGCATGGCAGAGGTGAAAGGAGCTACCTTTCTTCTAGCAGCTGCTGTATGTTCTGTTGCTGCTACAAAGAGGCTAATCTTTCTGCTCCAACGTTCTGTTCCCTCTCAGCATGGTGAGTGCTGTAAAGGCTCTCTGGTACTTTTCTCAGTGCTATGAATCACGTATGGCTAATTTGGTTTGGTTTGATTATCACATTGCTTTAGAACAGGAGAAAACAACGTTCCTTTTTCAAATTAATCTAGATGTATAAGGCTTCCTGGGGTCCAATGCGTATTTGAAAATACACACTTGTAACTCTGTTTCACGTCAACAATTGTCTGAGGTTGAATTAATCCTTCAGCAACTAGTATGTGATAAACAGGAAGTCTGATAAGAAGTGGTTTTGCACTTCTCAGACTGCTCATTTTATGATATTGATTTAAAGTGAACATTGGAAAAATACTATGGCTAGCATTAAAAAGGAGAATGAATGAAGCTGACAAAAGCACGCAAAGTGTGAACTAATGCATTGTAGGTTGCATTGCCCTCACTGTTCTTCCAGCACACTGTGTAACACCAAGAGCCTGATGAAATGTGGAGAAGAAACTGCTAATAAGATTAGTGTCGTGATAGCAGAGAACTGCTTCCAAATTTTAAATACTCTGGGCTTTCCTTTAGCATGTCTGAGAACTGCAGTTAAAGACTGGATAAGGAGCACAATTGCACTGTTCTTGTTACCTTGGTTGAGAAAGCTGTTTAGCTGTCAGCTTGTGTTTCAGGGGATGATGTATTAGCTGCTGGCTATTAATTTGCTGTATTTTGGGCTGGATAGCTGGTGCTTCTCAGTTCTGCAAAGCTTGTCTCTTGACAGGAGCAATATTGTTTACACGTTTGCAGTGTTTGTTGAAAATGTCCCTGTCAGGAAAAAAAACCCAAACGTGTTCCTGGGTTTAATTGTGGAAAGCAATTAGTGACATTGCAGGCCTCTGCTGCTTCTCTACACTCTGCTCTTGTATCACATAAAAGGCATTGTGGCACAATTAAGACAGGATGCAGAGCCAAAAAGAAAAGCTATTATTATGGGGAAAGACTCTAAAGAGATTGTGATTTAATGTAAAAAAATGTTTACAAAAAAACCCCATAATTACTGAGTAGAATAATCGGGGAAAATACTGTAATGGTATTCTGTGATGTGTGATAATGAGGGGGTTTTTGCCTTTGTTGAGGAATATGTACTCTGCTCTACACAGTAATTAATGTGTAGGCTATTTCTCCTGCATTAGAAAAAGTTTTGACTGGGTTTTATTTTAATGGCTCATTTAGTGCCACCTGGAATATGATAAATGCAGATTTAGGTCCATTCATTTAGCATGGATCAGGCCACTTTCTGTTACCTCAGAACCTCTCTTTTGTCTTCTTTTTATGTTGCCTGTTCAAGATGCCTCCTCGTGCGCACTTGATCTTCAAAACTTTAATGCCGGTTGGTTTCTGCTAAGTGGCACACAATCTGTGACAGCTTCAAATATCTGTAGTTCCCCAGTTCCTGATCTGAGCAAGCAAAAGTTCTCGTATCTGACTAGAGCCTTGGACCACAAATGAATGAGCTTTTATTTTTTCCTCTAAACCCTTATCCTTGAACAAATATAACAAATATTCTTTTTTTTTCCACAGATGAGTGCTAATGATTGTCAAGACCCTCCAGAGTACTGGACAATCCATGGACTGTGGTATAATCAGAGTGTTTTTAGTTCAGCTTGGAAAGGAAAAATCCGGCTTTGTACCAGGATGTTTGGTGCTTTTTTTTTAAAGGCTTAAACTGTCTGATTTTATTATTCCATGAGACAAAAGTCTTAATTTTGTTGGAAATCAAAGCCCTAAGGTTTCATATAAAACTGAAATACACTTCTATATCTCATGAATCCCCAAGCTCCTGAAGTGCTTTTGCCACATGAGCATTTTATTTATGCTTCTTACAAAATCAGTAATATTCTCAAACAGAAAGGATAGTCTCCCATCTTTTTTATTTTTCTCCCTGAGTTAAAAGAATTTGTTAATGTCTTATGACTGCATGTGCCTTTAAGTATCTTAATTCAGCACAAACATTGCAAAAGTAGAGGAAAAACTAATTTGCTTCAAAGGAATCAATTCACTGGAATTGGTGCCAATGCAGCAATTCCAAGATTTTCCTGACAAATACAGGGAAAAATTAAGTAGAGGAGTTTGTTAAGCTATGTGTCCTGGGAAGGTGAGTGGCATTATGTCTAGAACTCCAGTGTCTTGGTAGCACTTGCAGAATTGTCATTTGGTGCAGTGGCTGAGGAGGTCAGTGTCATTAGTGACATCATATGCAAGACCCTTCCATACCATTAACTCCTCATGTATGTCTTTTACGTGGAGTGAGAGGAGCTAATGAAGAACTTCTGCATGGAAGATGTTTTGCTCGTAATTAATGTCTTGAGTTTGTACTTCTAAGACAGTGTAAATGCTGATGGCTTACTTGCATTTTTAAATAAAATCTCTAGCTATAATCTTGCGTATTTGAAATTCAGCCTAATTATACAGAATAGAATGCTGTTAGTTACAATTATTGAGTTAGGAGACATTTTTTTTTCATTTTTATTTTGCTTCCCTAGGCCTGACAAAACTGAGGAGTGTAATAGGACGTGGCATTTCAATGTCACCGAGATTAAGGTATTTCTTTAAAGCAAAACCAATCATACCAAGCAGAGCTGACTGCAAATTTCTCTTGTGCATACTATGTGCAAAATCCATAGCCTTTAATATATTATTCTAAATGTTTACTGGGTTGTATGTTCTTTTAAGGACTCCACAAATTCATTAGATACTTCTGGTACTACTAGAAGTTGCAATGCTTGTGATCATTAGCAACTATTCCTACTTGATTTTGTAGACATGCAGTTTGACTCATTGAGCCAAATTCTCCTTAAAAAAATCTGGAGAACATAGGTGGTGGATCTGCAGTGGCAAAAAATTACCTGGGAAAAAGAGGTTACAGTCAGTCTATGTTCTCTCTTCTGTTTTCTACTGCAGAGCCAAAACACAGAAAATAAAACAGTTCAGAGTATATTTTTTCTTTTCCCAGGCCATTAGTCCTTTTTATTCTTTTTTTAAATTAAAAAAATAAATATGTATTTCATTCAAATGTGTTGTAAATGGGGATAGTAGGCTTGAAATTTGAAATGCTGCATGACTGAACAACTTCTGCAGGGACAACTGAAACAAAAATCCTACTCTGAGGCAGTGTGTTGGTATTAGTGCATTCATATATTTAGATAGTTGTTCCTACCTGTTACCTCCAACAAACAGCACTTTCAGAATATTGGGGGGAAAGACCTTTTATTTTTCTGCAAGTAAATGTTTCAGTTGGGGATGTTGAAAGAAGAGGCTTCAGTTCTAGAAAATATATTGATGTATGTAAATTGTGTAAAAAATAGCTTTTCAAGCCTGTAGGTGCATTTGATAATTGTGATATTTTTAGGACCTCATGTCAGACATGAGACACTACTGGCCTGATGTTCTTCATTCATCTCAGAATCGCACCCAGTTCTGGTGAGTACAAAAAGGCTTGAAAAGTATTTTGGATATTGTTTTATTAAAAAAAAATAATCTGTCTGAGTTAGTAATTTTTGAGGTGAGATATTGGGCATAAGAAGCAGTGTCCAGGAGGCCACTGAAAGCAGCGTGTCTTGTCAGTCTCATTTACAAAATAAATCTGTTTACTTCTTAGAGCACTTGCAAATTACAGCTGTTGAAGACAGGGCTATGGCAGAGGTTTTGGAGAAATGAAACTTAGTGAGAGAGAGAGAGACAGTGTTTTCTCCCTTTGACCCCAGGGAGAAGAAGCAGCTGCTGTTGACAGGTAAAACGTGGGTAGCTGTCACACTTGACTCTGGTTTGACAACAATGCTCTCGATCCCCTCCCCCTCCCACCCAAGTAGGGAAGGAGAGAGAGAAGAAGAGAGTGACTTGGCTGCTGGATTGAAAACTAAACTACACAGCTTTAATTAAACATTAATGATAAAAGAAAATATATACAATTATATACAAATATATTCAGATATGTGCCAAAGCCTCTCGCCTCCCCCAACAACTCCCACAGCATCTCCTGAGCTGTGAACAGTCCTGAAAAGTTCCAGAGCTGCTGGAGAAAGCACAGAGTGGTGAGGGTCAGGAGAGCGCGAGCCTGGGGGGTCGACGGTGATGGATGGACGGCGTCCTCCCTGGACGCCTGCCATGGATGGAAGAGAAAGGAAGAAGAAGCAGGAAGGAAGTTGTCTTCTGTGATCTCTGACCTTCCTCTGAGCTTACGTAGATATATGGAATGGAGTATCTCTGGCCAGTTTTGCTGTCTGTCTAACTCAGCCTCCTACGGGGGGTCATAGGTCTCCCCGTAGTTTCTGAGCCGGCAGAATAAAGGTGCGACCTTTAAGACCCAGCATTTAGAAAAACATTCCACTGTTACTAGTCTGCTATGAGTTAAAAGCAAGCTTACTGAAGGAAAAAAGAATCAATAAAAGGAAAATTGGCTTCATTCTGGCTCAGACCAGGACAGTAGTAGTAGCTCTCCTGGGATGTCACAGCCAGCTGCAAGTGAATTCCAGGCCTCTTTTCCTAGCTAGCTTTCCTGTGTTGCTCACCTTGAGAGTTGTTCGTCCTGGCTCAAACCAGGACACTCAGAGAGGAGGAAGTGGAGCAATAGGATGCATTGGATCATCATAGCCACTTCTCTGCAGAATTCTCCATTTTTAATTACTTTCCCAGCAACCAAAAAACAGAGATGGGTATTTATTGAGAGACTGACTTGCCTGGCTCACCAGAAAGGACAGGGAGATTTTCATCTCCCTTGACAAGAGCACTGTTTTCCTGCTTTTCCAAGTGTCACTTTGGTTCTGAATACTCAGACACTTGGACTGAAGAGTGGTATGGGTGGCATTTGAGTTTGCATAGGCTTTAATTCAAGTGCATTATTTTAAACTAAAATTATTTTCCAAAAAATGAACCACGAGCTGCACCAGCCAAGGTATGGATATGCAATTTGTTCCAGATCACCAGTTAAAGTGTAACATCTGGTAAGAAGCTGAGCACAGCGCTAGAGGCAATAGCATTTAAAGCCATCTCAAGTATAAGTGCCTGTAAACTTTCCTTTGGATTGGATGACCATTTCCTCCCTTTGTCACTAGGAAAAAGCTTAGAAGGGGATGTGCATCTCTCTTAGTCTTGTCTGTGCTCTACAGAAGGCACCTGTCCTCAGAGTCTTTAACTGGTTTCACAAGTGTCTTATGGCAACCTGAACTTCTGTCAGAAGTGGTGGTCTCACTTTTTCCTCCTTGCAGTCCTCTGTTCTTGGACTATACTGGGGAGAACATGACCACTTCTTGCTGTGGTAGTACAAGTTTATGCTACCTTAAACTATTCCTAGAATTAGAATAAGATAAATGTTTAGTAAATCTAGCACCTCCCGTGCCCTGACTTAAAAGGCGAAGTAAGGAATCTTCCTGGTGACTTTAGAATAGCTGCAGGTGCTTCTGCAGAGATAATTTTACATCTCTGTTCACCTTTTTAGCTTATGAACTGCAACAATTGCCACCCAAGAGCTTGAACTGAACAGGATAGAATGCCTTAATAAAGGACAAAGTTATGGTTGCTGTATATGTCAGAATGTATTAACTGAAGCTATCCCTTTTAGAGTTGTTGATAATTTTCAGATCAAATAAAATTTTCTAGACCAAGAAAATTCTCTTCAGGGAATATGCATATGTATATGATACAGAAGAAAGAATCAACTTTTAGCCTATAGGACACCTGGATGTCCCCAATATTGCACATTTTGTCAGCAGCGCTTGTAGCTTTGCTTTACAGACGTTCTTTGTTCCTACCTTAATAATGAGCCAGTCTTCAAGCTTAGTGGTTTCTGTAATCCTTGCACCTACCTGATATGCTTCTGACTTTGTCTGTCACATCTGCATGACTTTGTGCTTGGCATAACTCTGTTCCTGTTGTACATAACAGGAAGTAACATCTCTTTGAGGTTCAGCTTCATTTCCACACTACTGAGTTGTACTAATTTCATTCTCTTGCATTTCTGCAGCCTCCTAAGAATTAATTTGTAGGTCTCAGCTTTGAGGTATGGAAGTGTAACATTTATTCTTAGCAACACCATTGAGAAAATGGTGAAATACAAGTTATATAATGGAACCCAGTCTAGTGCTGTAAGACACACTCCGTTTTGTTTGTGTCTCACACGGAGGAAAAGTATTCAGCAAAGTTCATGACCACTTTCATTTATGCTCGGTGCTACTGGCTAGCTTATGGATACAGAAGAATGGGTGGCTGTCCTGGTTTGAGCCAGGATGAAGCCAATTTTTCTTTTTACTGATTTTTTTTTTCCTTCAGTGAGCTTTCTTGTAGCTAGCAACAGTGTTCTGCTAGACTGATAAGACAGTGGAATGTTTTTCTAACTACTGAGGCTTCAAGGCTGCACCTGCACTCTGCCAGCTCAGACACTATGGGGAGATCTGTGACCCCCCCGTAGGAGGCTGAGTTAGACGGACAGCAAAATTGGCCAAAGATGTTCCATTCCATATATCTACGTAAGCTCAGAGGAAGGTCAGACATCACAGAAGACAACTTCCTTCCTTCTTCTTCTTCCCTTTTTTTCTGTCCATGGCCGGCGTCCGGGGAGGACTCTGTTCATCCATCACTGTCGACCCTTAGGCTCGAGATCTCCTGACCCCCATAACTCTCTGCTTTCTCCAGCAGCAGCTCTGGGATTCCTCGGGACTCTTCCCAGTTCAGGGAAGTGCTGTGGGAGTTGCTGGGGTGGGGGGAGGCGAGAGGTTTTTGCCCATTCCTGAATATATTTGTATATAATTGTATATATTTTCTTGTATGATTCATTAGTGTTTTAATTAAAGCTGTGTAGTTTAGTTTTCAATCCAGCCAAGTCTCTCTCTTTTTCTCTCTCTCCTTCCCTACCTGGGTTGGGGGGAGGGGGGATCGAGAGCATTGTTGTCGGACCTGAGTCAAACTGTGACAGTGGCCTTCATGAATACAGGCAGATACATTCTGTATGCACATACCACTCATCTGTGAGCTGAGACTCAAGTAGAATTACCTTTCCTTACTGTGGTCTAGGTGAAGGATAATGCGTCTCACAGAATAACACAGAGATAGTAATTCTTTTTTTGTATAAACAAGTTATTTTATGTTCTCCTTGGTACCTGCAGCTTCTTCATTTCTGAACTGCTTCAGTTTGAATTTAAATGCAAGAGGTGAAGGCATTTCGTATGCCTTCACTGAGTGGTTAGAATTAGCTGTATCTGTGTCATTGTTTTATTTCATATGGCTGTGCTGCAAAATAAAGTAACACTGGCAAGAGTCTCATCTTAAAGTTTTAGCGATTCTAAAGTAGCTCTCCATTCTGGAAGCTCACAGGACTGATGAGAAAACTTGGGCCTGGTGTTTTTTTTGCTTGCTGCAGCTGCTGATGTATGGGCTTTTCCTGTGGGTAACTGTATGTTTTCACTTGTGATGCCCACAGCCCCATTGCCTTGGCCCCTGTGATCAGTGCAAACTGGATCAAACCATTTCAACAGCAGTTTCATGTTATCGGTAATAGGCTTCTTGAGCAACATCAGATCTTTGGGCCTCTGTTTATGCCTTCTTTCTGGGAACAGCAGTGCACTTAAATACAAGTACTACTGAAAACCTTCAAAAGACGAGCACCACACTTTAACATTTTTTTTACACACATGCATGGATATATTCCTTGAAGAAAAATTATTATCCTGCATGCAAAGCCTTGCCTCCAGCTTACCACTCTCCAGTAGCCCTTTGAATTTGGCTATTGTCTGCTTCTCATCCAAGTTAATTACACAGTATCTCATGCTAAATTTGCCCCTAAAAGCTTCCATTTTCTTTAAAACTGTGTTCTCTTTTCTCATAAGTAATTTCAAATCCCTTGTCAGGAAATCTGCTCTTTGGCCCTTGTAAAATCAACTTCTCCAGGCAGTAAACAATTCACTTGACAAACAGTCGATTCAAGTGTTACAGCCAACATGAGAACTCTCTACAAGGCTAAATTTGGGAACATATATTGAAAATCTTCTAGTAATGCATCTTCTCCTCTGCCTTAATTCTCTTGATGCCACAGTTGCTTTATTCAGTCTCTGTTCAGAAGTAGTTGTATAAGAATTTCTCTAGATACAACTGTTAACTTCTTTTAAAGTGTTTTTATTCCTTAAGAAAAATCTGAAGTTTTTAATATGAATGGACAGTTTAAAAGCTTTCAAGTGAATAATAGTAGTCCTTGTGCTTCTCTGCTTTTCCATGAGGTACTTAAGGCATAAGGTCAGAGAAAGCAGTGGTAGTGGCAGGAATTTGTGACTAGATAACTTTTTGTGTACATCTGCAGAACTGATACGTGTTTAATACAAATGGGTCATGAAAATTTACAAATAAATAAATAAATCTGCTTTGCTCTGAAATCTTAATGGAGTTTTTTTACTGTTTAGTCTATCAATAGACTTCAGAACTGATAGAAATGTATTTTGATCTTTGTCAGAGTTTTTCTCCTGTTTGAGTTTGTCTGCCATAAAATTGCAATAATTGCTTTCTTTTGCACTCTGTTCCATGGTATTAGAAGACTTGATTGTGGAATAGAAGGAAGAGTTGAGAGCAGGCCTGTGAAAAAACTGCCACAGGCCAAAGCAAAAGTTGAGACAGCAGTCTTTTATTAGCAGCTTGCACAGTTTTAGTGTTCCACCCAAAATAAGGGTTAGTTTCTTCCGTGCTGAAAAAAATTTAGTGCTTTGAAGGTACACTTAACATGGAAGAGTCCACTATAACTTATACAAAGTTTAGAAATACTCATTTTCTAGGCAAATTCTTACCATTCTGACCTCCAAACATCTCTTTGTAATACGCTGTGATACCTTTGTACCATTAAGAACATGATGCTTATTTGTGTCATAAATTTCTTTATTTAATTACTTCAAAACCAAGCTGATTCAAAGGAGACAACTGAAAAAAACCTGACAGATGTCCAAACTATTTGGACTATCTTAATCTAAAGAAGCACTCAAACAGCAATTTCGGCTTTATAAAGTTTTGTTACACTCTTGTGATGTAAGTTCTCTTAGTCACCTTTGAAATGAAGTAATGGTTTATTTCACATTGGAATCTATCTTGCCTCCTCATCTTGCAATGTCCAGTCTTTAAAAAGTGAGAGCGGAGGAGAGTATTATTTCTTTGGTGGGTAACAGGTGAAGGGCTGAACTGTAAATGACTTTTGCATAAATTAATATACATAATTTATAGGAAAACAGAATACTGATTCTGAATGTGCCAGGTCCATAATAATATCCAAACCATTAGACCATCATCTCCTTTGTATTAAATACGTTAGTTTGAAAAGTCACTTTGTCACAGCTGCCAACATTAATGCCAACTCATTGATAAATTTTTAACACAACTCCTTGTTTGAAATAATTTATTCTGAGTGTGATGTTACAAAACCATAATGAGGGACTTCTTGGACTTCTTCCTTACTCTCCTGATAGGTCCAGAATCTCTTGGTGAATGATTCTACTAAAAAAATACATAGATGCTGCTGTAATTGAAATGATGGGAGTGGTCTTACTTGGTTTTGTTTTTCTCAAGTGCAGTATTTTTTTAAAGCAGTGTCCTACTTCACACATGTGCCTGTTCAGATACTTAATTTAAGTACATAGACTAGCTTGTGCAGTACATACATCTACAAATAATGTTTTCCAAAACTTTAATTTTGTTTTCCTGCTGTAGGAAACATGAATGGGATAAACATGGCACCTGTGCAGCCACGCTTGAGATTCTTAATTCTCAGAAGAAATACTTTGGTAAAGCTTTAGAACTCTACAAGAAAGTTGATCTTAACGGGTACGTAAATGAACTCAGTGATCTGCCCCTTATTTGAAACAGTTTATAAAAGTTTAATATCTAGCCTAAAGAAAGTCTAAAAATTTGATGGCAGAGGGGAAGTGAGTATTAGCATAAATTATTTTTAGTACTAGAGGAAGGGTTTTCTGCACTGAGAAGCATGTCTTTGGTCAATTCAGAGACTGATAAGCCAGCACTGTTCTTTGCAGCATTATTTTAGATAATGTGAGCCAGTTAATGTTGAGAAGCTGTATTGGCTATGTCTCCCTATCAAAAGCTCTGGTACCCGTAAACTTGCAAGTCAAGTGACAACACCGCACAAACTTCTGAGTCATAATGGGGCCTGAACACCTGTTTTTAGAAAAGACAGTTCTCTGCTCAGAGGAAGGGGCAGGCTGCAGGCAAAATTGTGCAGAACATCATGGGAAAAAGGCTGAGGTAAAATCAAAAGAGGATGTGATGAAGGGTGGTGTTTAGTCACTGCTCTGCTGTCCTTTCAAACAGCCCTGATGTGACACTCTTGCTTTGTCCTAGGGACTGATTTCCTCCTCATGGTTCTAAAGAACTGTCTATTCTAGATACAAAATCTTGATGGAATGTTGAGGCTTGACCAGGCACATCCTGGCTACACATGAATGCCGGAATACTAGAGTAATTTCCTGATCAGTGTTGGTATGGGTGGGAGAATGTTTCATTTGATTTGTTGAGCATGAGTTGTCTCTCTGTGTAAGAAAACAGTATTTGAGAAAGGAAACAAGTTCTTCCATATCTAGAAATGTATCTTGGAAAAAAAAAATCTCATTCATATTCTGTCAGAGTCTTGTCAAAGCAATCTCCTAACAAAATCCCATCACTTTGCATATGTGCAAAGGAAATAGGCCTTTCTCCCAGCAACCCTCTCCTATTTTTGTAGGTGGCTTGTAAAATTTAGTTAGATTTTTCTAGACACAGTACTTAAGAGCGTGTCATATGTAGTGTTCAGTTTAATAATGTCCGATGAGTCAATTGTCTAGGTAACTTTGAGACTGAGACTAAAACATTTTACAGATGGCACAGTGACCATCTCTGTAGCTCTATATCAGCATATATAAGACGGAAAAAGAGTAGAGACTGAAACATGTTGAAATTAATCGCTCAGAACATATTCTCCTTTGTAAAAAATAAGCTAATTAAATTAATCTTTACTGAAAAGGACTGCTAATATTCTCCTTGTACTTAATTTATATTTAAATGAGAAAAAGTAGTATTAGTGGTTAAAATACTTTTTCCAAAAAGGAAATTATTAAAACCAGGACATTATGCAGGCTCCTATAAGAATAGCAGAACATAATCTGTGTTACTGGCCTCCTTATATACAGTATCAATGACTGATAAACAGCTAGACCTTTAGTCAACTGGGTTAAATCTCCCCTATGCAGAACCTGACCTTGGAAGGATTGAGACTTGGCACCTATTGGGTCTTGAGTCTTGTCAATTGGGAAGTGTGGTCTTCCCTCAAGACTGAATCTGAAAGAAGGGGTATGTATATAGGCTAGAGGTTCTTGAGAGTTACCTTGTTTCTCTTCTGTGAACTTTTCCTCTTCAAAAACACATTCATTAGGAAATGTTTCTGCCACAATGTTGGTCCAGATCCACTCACTTTGTCTCTCTGCCATTGTGCTGTTCACCTCCCACCCCGGCAAGCACATCTTGTGCTAGAACATGAGATTGCCTGGAGCAACCTCAAAGGTCTGTCTCTGTCCCTTCCCACGTGGAGAGGGTTCTTCCTGACCCTGCTGGGTTGGATAGGAAGTGACCTTGTCATGAGCCAGATTGGGCAACCCAGGGAAATTCAGATTGGACCCACTTACTTTCTGAACTCCATCTCAGAGAGGAGCCCAGGTGCAGCTGGATCCAGTCTTAGTCTCAGACCTTGCCCTTCCAGGAAAAGGGATTAAAATGTGACAGTCTGAGGAAATATTCGACCATCCAATACTCCTTGATCGGATTAAGGTGAAATGTCAGTCAAGTTCTGTATTTGAGCATTAGCTTTAATTAGACCTTTAGAAGGAATACTGATACTCCAATTATTATATATGCTCAGGCTGCACAATCATAAAGGCTGATATGTTAATTATAAAAGTCACAATACACTGCATAACCTGGGAAAAAATCGCTATAGGCTTTGCATCATTTAATGATTTTAGGAAGGAAAAGAAAAAGAGAATAAGAGAAGAAAAGTTAGAGAGATTGATAAGAGAAAGCCACCAGTCCTGGATCCAGTGTTGGTCTGGCCAGCAGAGGGGGGTTGGTATCAGTGAAGCTCCCAAAGCCAGCCATCACAGTTCCTTCTTTTATAGGCCTGTTTTGCTTAAACAATTGTTTTGCAACAGTGAGTAAGCATGGTTGAGACATACTGAGATCGAGCAAGCAGACTGGGGAGTGGACCTCTACCTCCTCTCCTCCTCTCCACCATTATTTCCATAGGCATCAAGCAGTCCTTTGGAATGCAAACGAAGTTTTGTTTGAGGGCTTACAATGGTGTTTGCCTGACCCCCAAGAGTCCCTGAGGGCTGGTCCCTCACCGACCTTTGAGAAAAGGGAAAACTTTTCTCGGCCTGGCAGAGGATGGAAGACAAGTTTCCCTTGTTCCCCATCGCTGTAATGCTTCCCAGGTTCTGCATCAGATTAGCTGTTTATCTAATGATTATGAAGTCATGTTTGCATACAGGAACTATGGAAGAGTTTTATCTTTCTTTCAGTTGTCTCCTGAAAGCCGGGATAAGGCCAAGCAGTTCATATTACCAGGTAAGAAGCAATCTTTTATAAAACAAAATCATGTGCAGATGCTTTTTAAGCAGGAATCAGTTAATTACTGGAGAATAAATGATCTTTTTAAAACTGTAGAGTTCTTTAAGGTTGTACTAGAAGTTTATGTGAACTTAGTGTGGGAGCTGTTTGAAGATTTGGTAGTGACTTTTTTATATACACTTTTTAATTTTTCAGATGACTGCCATAAAGGAAGCTCTTACAAGATTTTATGGTGTAATGCCGAAGATCCAGTGTCTTCCACCAGAAGAGGTAAAAACCCAAAACAAACACATGCTCCCCAAACCAAAAACCAAACAAAACCCCAAACAAATAAAAAAGCTCTTTTTTTTTTTGGTGTGAAATAGCACCTTTCATCAAAAAAACAAGAGCAAAAATAGAGTGCAAAATCTTCAGCATGGTGAAACTTAGGTCAGAGTGTTCCTTGCGTATATAGAGCTCTTTGCAGATTATATGTTGCATGATTCTGGGAGTTGAGTTCATAAAGACATTGCTTACATACTAAACCACCGAGTTCAGCTTATGTTGCTCATGCCACAGCCTTTTCTTAATGCAGAAATATTGTTTGTGGAGGAAGTGTCCATTCTTTACCTAATAACTCCTATTAATATACTTCCCTAGCAAGTGGGAGCACTGGGTTTTAAAGGTCTCTTTGTCTTAAAAGGTTTGAACCTTCATCTCTTGCATGAATGCTGTAACCACCACTCCAGAGGTATTGCTATACCTGTGTAGTTTCAATTCACCCTGCTAAAGCTTAATTGCCGTACAGGAAATTACTAGAACCAAAAAGAGATGAATGGAACCAGTGACTCTTGGCCTGGACAGGGGTACTGCTGTCAACAGCAGTCTTCCTTTCACTGGGCATGGCTTGTGTTCTGCATGAAGAAGTTACTCAATGGACGGAATCCTTAAAAAATAAAGCAGCTCAGAGACTTGTCTCAGGTTGTTCTCAAAACCCCCTGCCTAAAGATGTACACAAAGGTATTTTGAGCTTCAGTGTGGTTCAGGATGACTATCATCTTTCATTTTGAGCCAACGCCTACATTTTCCATTTTTTTCTTTTCTTTACCAGTGATTGTACTGTGAATCATGATGCAGTAGAGGATGTGGTACACAGAGACCTTGTGTTAGAGTGTAAAATACAGGTCATCATGTCTAAACCATAAATGTCTTTGAGGCAACAAAATGGTGTTTGGAACAGTTATGTGGGTAGGCTGCATAGCTGTTTCTTTCCTTTTTCAGTTAGGTTATTCTGCTTTTATTCAAAAAGAAACAAAGCCACAAGACAGATTTTCCTCTTACAAGTGGTTCCTTATTATCTCAGCTTGATAAAAGTGGTTTACTACAAACCACGAGAGAATTATTACCCGTACGTAGACAACAATGTAATGAAAACTTGCCAAGGTACAGTTGCTGTTGGTGTTTAATAGCTTGTGTATTGTCAGCTTACTTGCTTTAGTAGTGCTCTAAGGTTTTTATACTCAGATGTTGTTTCACGTGAAAAAGAATTCTAGGTTACGGTTATTTTTAAAATGTGTTTTTACATTATTTTAAGCAAAAAAGGTTGCACACTCACCTACCTCTTGATGTTGAGGACATACAGACCTAACATAAACTCCAGTTTCTATCTCTGTTCTGTTCACTATAATTCTTCTTTTAGTACAATTGGGATACTGCTCAAATTATGAGAAAGTAATTTACAGCTTCAATCTCCTGTGCTCAACAGCTGAAGCTAATGGGTAATAGAAGGGAAAAAGTACACTCTAGTTATTTAAAGATAGCCCTTTTCAGAGTTCCAGCCTTGTCAATGCCTGAAGTGCATTATGGAGGTACTTGGATGTTTAAAAGGTGTTACACGCTTGCTGTGTTCTTAGGTTTCTTTAAAAAACAAACCAAAAACCAACCAACAACAAAAACCCCAAATGCAATCAAAAAAAGAAAAACACAGCCAAAACAAAATCCCCAGACCAAACCAAAACCAAAAAAACCCCACCTCAATTACTTTTGTCTTGTACATATGTTTTTGTCCTGCATAGTGGTTTCAGAACCAATTTTCTTTATGTGCACTTTGTCACACTTGAGCATTTTTGAGATTTTTGTAAATATTCTTCCACACATTAAAGGTTTCCATGCCTACCTGCCTTGTTTATGACCAATATTTCTCTTCATAGTCTGTCCCATAGTCCAAAAATGACGTTTCTGCTACTTCTGTCAGCTTGCTTCTCTACTTTTTCAGTAACTGCTATTATAAAACATTTTTTTTTTCTCCTTTTTGGAGATTTTTATCTGCCATAATTCCCATCCTGCTCCACAAGAGTTGGTGAAAGGTGATTTTTCAGGTCACATACACTTTTCTGTCATGGTTTGACTCGGAATTGGCAATTAAGCCAATGACAGCAATGCTCTCAGTCCCCTCCCACTCCCGTTCAGGTAGGGAAAGGAGGGAAAGAAGAGAGAGAATAAAGGGGAAAAACTTTCCGGGTTGAAAACTAAAATAGGCAGTTTTAATTAAATAGTAATGATAAAAGAAAATATGTACAAATACATACAAGTATGTGCAGGAATGTGCAAAACCCCTCACCTTTCCCCATCCCCACCAACTCCCATGGCACTCTCCCCAGTCATGAACAGTCCCAAAATGTCCTGGAGCTGCTGGAGGGAGTGGCAGAGCGGACAGGAGCTGAGGGGAGAGTTATAAGGGTCAGGAATGCACAAGCCCAGGGATCAGTGATGATGGATAGACAGAGTCCTCCCTAGACACTGGCCATGGATGGAAAAGAAGAGAGTAAGAAAAAGCAAGAAGGGTCTTGACTTCCGTGATCCCTGACCTTACACCAAGCTTATACAGATATATGGAGTGGAATACTTTGGTCAATTTTGCTGTCTCTCTAGTCCACTCTTCCCTACAGTAGGGTTGCAAACACGAGTCTTCTGCTCCTTTAGCATCTAAGGCCACAGAGCAAAGTGTCCTTGACCTCTCAGCAGTAATATCAACATTCCAGTGTTACCATCCACTAGCTGGAAAACTTTCTGCTAGTTAAAAGAGAGCTCACTAAAACAAAAAGTATCAGTGAAAAGAAAATTGACTGAATCCTGACACAAACCTGGACATCTTCAGTAATCACAGAGTTCAGACAGAGCTCATCATTAAGGTGAATGATTTCTGTGTACTGTGTGGATTTGGTAAAAATAATCCATGTCACAGCATTTCATAGTGCAATTTACTAGTCAGGCAGATTCCTCAGATTATTTTTGGATTATGCTGTTGGAATGTGTTTCCTTGTCTGCTTATTCTTTAAAGACAAGTATGTACTATAAGCTGTTCAGAGTGGACATCTCTGGTACCCATCTCCTTCATACTTTTCAAGTGGCAAATATGCAAATAAGCCCTTCTGCATTCTATAGATAAGACAATGTATATGAAGAATTGATTTGTTTTCTTCTTCCCATCAAGCTGATCTCATCCCTTGTGTTTCTAGGGTGAAAAAGCACAAACAATTGGTCAGATTGAATTCTGCTTCACTAAAGAACTGCAGCTGCGAAACTGCACAGCGCTGAAAGATGAATCTAACCCAATCCACGCTGACTTGAAGCTTGGAACTGAGGAGTTGTCTATCTGCAATGATGCTCTCCCAACCTATTATCCTTCACAGGTTCAAGATCACAAATGAACCCATAAGAATTTGAAAAACTTTTTGAACAGCAACAAAACATACTTCTTTTGCCGTTAGAAGAGAATGATCCGCATTGTAATATAAGTTGCACAGGCTGAAGTATTGAATTGTGGCTCCGATAGTTATAAGATCAGAACCTGATTTACAGCTTTGCCTGGACTTTTTGACTTGCTTATAGTTTGAATCCATGTTCAAAAGAGAAGTGACTTCTTATTTTCACTTGCAGAGAAGTCTGCCACTTGAGCTACTTTTGTTTTTTGCCAGTGAGTCAGGGGCTCCCAACAGTGAGCAGTGTCCTGTTTAAAGGGACTTACCTGAGGTACTGCATTTGCCTTAATAAAACCCCACCCACTGTCTTTTTATTTTGATGACGTTATTACACATTAAATATTTTAATTTGCTATGATTAATATATTAGTAACAGCAATAAAACACTGTACATGACTACCGTTGCTTGTTTTTTGACAATCGCACCTGCCTGACTTGTAGGAAGATGCAAACATCTTTTAAAAGCTACTGACTGATTTTTTTTTGCAGAGACGTGCCAAGACATTATAAAGTTTTAAGCAATACATTTAAGGGATGCTTTAAGGGCTGTGTCTGGATGTTGGCAACTGGGACAGCTGATGAATGAATGGTAACACAGGTTCAGATCAAAGATCATGTCCAGCCCTTATGTCCTTCTACTCTGCCCTTGTGAGGCCACATCTGGAATACTGCATGGAGTTCTGGGCTCCCCAGTTCAAGAGAGACAAGGAACTGCAAGAGAGAGTCCAGCAGAGGACAACAAAAATGATTGAGGATTGGAGGGGATTGGAGCATCTCCCTTATGAGGAAAGGCTGAGGGAGCTGGGACTCTTTAGCCTGGAGAAGAGAAGGCTGAGGGGAGACCTTATTAATGCATACAAGTATCTAAAGGGTGGGTGCAAGGAGGATGGAGCCAGGCTCTTTTCAGTAGTTCCCAGTGATAGGACGAGAGGCAACAGGCACAAGCTGGAACACAGGAAGTTCTGTTTAAATATGAGGAAAAACTTTACAGTGAGGGTGACAAAACACTGAAACAGGCTGCCCAGGTAAGGTGTGGAGTCCTCTTCTCTGGAGATATTAAAAACCTGCCTGGATGCAGTCCTGTGTAATGTGCACTACATGATCTTGCTTTAACAGGGGAGTTAGACTAGAAGGTCTCTAGAGGTCCCTTCCAAATCTGCCAATTCTATGATTCTGATTGTCATTGGAACGTATATAATTTAAAGAGTTGGATTTAACACGATTTTAAATACAAGAGATAAACAAAGGTATATTGGGAGCCTTGAAATTGCTTTAGTTCTGAAGTGTCACTTCCTTCAGCAAAATAAAATCCATCAGCCTTGAAGATTCATCACAGCCTGGGGAAGATGTGGTCTATATTCTTTTCTGCATCATTAGGTAAATTAAGTAAATCCCAGCAAGGGGATTGTTTGTGCAGTCTTGGTGCTATAAAATACTAATCAACTCCACAAAGGGGCTTAGCTTGTTTATACCCTTTGTCAGTGTGCTTTCTCATGCAAAATGCGTAAGTATCCCTTGGTGTCTTGAGTATGGGCTGTCTGTCTCCAAGGGCAGCTCCTCAGCCTAGACCACGGGCAGGTTCTTTTATCTCATTCTTTCCCTCTCTTCCGGGCTTACACTGAGCCCAGCTCCAGCCAAATTTATGGTGAGACAAAATAAGAGATTGGAAAAAGCAGCTTCTACTAATTTTCTTTAGGTAGTTACCCATGCACACATTTTGTGTTTAAGGCCATGTCTGTCTCTCCCCACCAGCAGCCAGCTGATCTGCCACTGTCAACAAGAACAGAAGAAGGCAGAAGCAGAGGAGACTTCTCCCTATTGCTCCTGTTCTTAGTGAAGGCAGTGATTGGTTGCCATGGCCTAGCTGGTAGGCAAAGCTACCTCTGCATGCTGAATTGGAGGTGTCATGGCCTCTTTCATGTCCCCACTTGGCACCTTCAGTGGCTGGTGAGTGCTGGGCTGGGCTGCTGGCCCAGGCCGTTGCCCACCAGAAGGAAGAAAGTGGTGGGACGACTGCAGTGCCCATGCAGGACTTTAGTACACTTGCAAGTCAAGTTCCACAAGTGTGGCCAGCCTAGGTATCACCAGCAGCAAAGCAGCAGGTGCTGGCTTTTACAGTGGGGAAGAGGGATTTTTGCAGGGATGCATTCTTGAATTTGGGCACCTCGATTCTGGTGTGGTTGTGCTTCAGGCAGCTGTGCTCTCTTTGGATCTGACTCAGCACCATTAAGCCAAGGTCATAGAAGGTTAATGGTGCTGCTAACAGTGTCATTGCTGCCGGATGATGGTACTGATGATGTGAAGGAAAAATGTTAGGACTTCGCAAGTTGCTTTCCCAGGAATGGAACAATCGATGATGAGGAGTATTGTATTTATTCTAAATTCTGACTGTCTTGCTACTCAGGCAGCTTCCTTTACAAGGTTCAGTGCACTCCTTCCATTCCTTTGAGTATGTATTCCCTGCTCCACATAGTTGCTACATTTCACCCAGAGCTGATCTAATAAATTCATTTTAGAAGGGATTTCAATTTCTTGTGCTTTGGAGACTAAGAGCTTTTGTATCCAGGCTAAGTAAGACCTTCTGTGGGAGATAGGCAGATTATTTTATGCTTGTGTGCTCTGGTCTTCATTATTCCTTACTTAGAAGTACACTGCGTTGTCACAGATTGGGTGATTATATAGACCTCAAGAGCAGCCAAGCCCAGCTGTGCCCACAGATTGGTGGTATGAATCCTATCAATATATTCAGCATGAAAATCACAGTGCTGATATTCCAACACAGTGTTCAGTTTGAAGGACTGACATTTTAGTAATCTTTTCTAAAAAATAAGCTAAAATGACCATATTTTATAAGAAAATTCCTAAGAAAGCTGAAGAAACACTTTTCTGAGTACAGCCTCACTTACCAGAAAATAGGCTGTTCAGATTTTTCTGTAACTCACACTATTGTTGTGTTAGAGAACTTCTCTGCATGTAAGTCAGAGAAGATGAGCCAAAACAAAATTAGCAAGAAATAAAAGCACAGCAGTCACTGTGTAATAATTACAATCTCTAACCAAGTATGCTGCATCCCAGCAGGTACTCACCATTAGATTATTTATTTCTGCTTAGTATTGTTGAGTAAAACTTCCCACTGTCAGCTTTGAGAGACAGTAGGCTTCTCTCTTTCCAGAGTGCTCAGCTGAGGGTAAAGAACCTGTGCATGCTTTCAGCAGAGACTGGAAGAGCTGTCACACTGCCCAAGTGTTGTCATTTTAGCCCATCAGCTTTCCACAGATCCATCTCCCTTACCATGATCTCACAGGTTAGGTTATGCTCTTGAGGGCTATGCGTGTCCAGATTACTTGTGACAATCAATTCCCAGTGCAGGGAATTTGCAGTAGGATGCACATGTTGCAGGATGTGTTCAAAAGAAAATTGTGCAGGACTGTCCCTCCTCAAACTCCATTTTGCAGGTATTTGCCAAATGCCTGGGGCATGCATTTGTCAAGGATTTATTAGCCAGGAGGCTGACTGATAGATGAAATGGGAAGCACTTTGTGTCTCCTGGTCTCTAAGATGTTCAGACTTTAAAGTGCTGGTACCCTATTGAGGTTGTCCTTTTATACACAACTGCTGACCATGCCTTATTTATCCTCCAGCCCCTGGATATCTTAAATTATTTGTCTCTGTTTCTGTGGGATTAAGTGAGCAGCTTGCTATTTCTGAAGGAAATGCAGGATAATCATTGTAACAAAATAGCTCTGGGACACAAACTACAAGTTCATTTCCAATGTCTCATTTTGTTTTTTCTTCAGTTTCCTTCATTATCCTCAGTCACTTGAAAGATGATGAATGTACCACAGTGTTTGATCTCACAGAGTAACCAAACTATGCATGAAGGCATAGATACTGTAGCAGAGAAAAATCTCTTGCGTATCATGGAGAAAATAAACATCAATAAACAATTAATAACAATAAGCAACATAAAGCATAAATATCATAGACTCAACCATAATTTCTTCTCTTCCCTTTTTACCCCCACTGTGATTGTTTTGAGAGATTCTGACCATGAGGATCACTGGAGGCCTGGAGGAAGGTAGATGTATTGATGGATAGATTTTAATCCTTTATTTGTTTTCCCTTTGGCACCTGTTTTTTGGCATATCTGATTGATTAACAGGCTTGCAGTCATGCTCACACATGACGAAGAGCAATGTATCAAAAAATATTAAAAATATGGCAAAAATGGGTATTGATTAAATCAGTTAACAATCTGAGGCCTTCATAATTACTTAAACTGAAATATGGTCTGGATAGCCTGGCTTGTCTCAGCAAATGGGAGAACAGGGAAACTGGAGTATCTGTTCTCTTATTTCACTCTGCTAGAGAAGCTAGCTGCTCCTGGCTTGGATGTGCACATGCTTTGCTGGATAAAAAATTGGTTGAATGTCTGGGTCCAAAGAGTTGTGTTCAGTGGAGTTAAATCCAGTTGGTGTCCAGTCACAAGTGGTGTTCCCCAGGGCTCAGTGCTGGGGATGCTCCTGTTTAACAGCTTTATTGATGACTTGGATGAGGGGATAGAGTGCACCCCCAGCAAGTCTGCAGATGACACTAAGCTGGGTGGGAGTGTCAATCTGCTTGAGGGCAGGAAAGCTCTGCAGAGGGATCTGGACAGGCTTGACCGAGGGGCTGGGGCCACTTGCATGAGTTTCAATGAGGCCAGATGTTGGGTCCTGCACTTTGACCACAGCAACCCCAGCAGTGCTACAGGCTTGGGGAGGAGCAGCTGGAGCTGCCTGGCTGAGAGAGAGCTGGGGGTGCTGGTTGACAGCCAGATGAGCATGAGCCAGCAGGGTGCCCAGGTGGCCAAGAAGCCAGCTTCCTGGTCTACAACAGTAACAATGTGATCAGCAGAACCAGGGAGGTGATCCTGCCCCTCTTCTCGGCCTTGGTGAGGCTGCATCTCA